ATATAATTTAAGCATAGGTGGGAGTAATGTTTTTCTGTTTCTAGCATGGAATAGAAACTCCCAGAACATAAACTGGAAGTTTTTTGCTTCACACATAATCAAGTGCTCTGTCTTTCTAAAAACATCCTGTAGGGACCTCGATGGTGTGTTGCAGCGTGCAAATAATACGGAATACGGCCTGGCCTCGGGGGTTTTCACCAGAGACATAAGTAAAGCTATGTATGTGAGCGAGAAACTGGACGCGGGAACTGTTTTCATTAACACATACAACAAGACGGACGTAGCAGCTCCTTTTGGTGGAGTTAAACAATCTGGCTTCGGAAAAGACTTAGGTAGGTGCTGCCGTCAGTGGCCTGTTGTGGCCTCTTTGTGGCTGCATCGCAGGGAAGTCTGCCCTGGGCTTCACACCACCTGTGCTGTCTTGCAGGACATTTCCTACATGGCATCTAGAGCAAGGCTTGCAGGTGTACTCGTCTGTCGTTAAAGCGAACGCTTTATGGAACATAATGGAGATACAGAAAAGTACAGAAGTTGTGTGCAAAAGTCCTTTATTTTAGAAAAGTTCATGTGGAATCTTTTAGCTAAAACAGGTTGTTTGTAACCTGACACTCAGCATGAACCTAGTTTAGCGTGTGTGGGACTAAGTGGAGCCCAGGAAGAATAACCAGTTAGCTCCAAGAATAAATCCTGTCTCTAAGCTGTTTGGCAGTCTCCCAGCGTCGACAGTGCAACTGGCAGAGTTTCCTGGGAGCCTAGAAACTCAGGTTTAGAGTTTGTGGAAAGCCCAAAATGTAATTCACCACAGGCGGTGATGTTATCACGTTGCAAGCAATGGCTTACTTTGAACACTAAGTATTGCCAGGCCTTATTCTAATTACTTTATCCAGATGAGCAAAGCAAGCCTTACAATAGCCCTGGGAGATAGGTGCTATTATTATCCTTAGCTTACAAATGGGGAAATGCCCAGAGTCACAGAGCCAGCCAGCCTCTGGCAAAGACTTCAAAGTAGGTATAAAGTCCATACTCAGCCCCCACAGTTGGTCTGGAAAGGTTTGGGACTGACTGGAATTAAGGTCAGTCCCTTAAATGTTGGGGCACTTTTATATTTTCTCTTCCTGATGAATTTTGGCAGTGTATTTGCAGCAATAAAAGAAGCTCTCATTTTAAATACCATTGGGTTGGAGGTAGTCTTTTTTTTTTTTTTTTTTTTTTAATGCCTTCAGTATGGCTTTCATCCAAATCACAGTGGGATATATTCTTAGGAAAATTATTATCACAAAGTGAGGTAACCAATCAGGTATTGCTTGTCTTTTGATAGATCATAAGTAGTTTCAGGTCTCTGCTTTACATAAAACAGCAGCGTTTGCCTAATAATTTTCCTTCTTTCCCAAAATATTTTTATTAAAACCCCTTTAGCCAAGAGGGTCCTAGCCTTAGTTTCAGTGGGATTAAAACCCCCTTCAGGATTTTAAAAACATGCAAAGATGCTGATTTAATTGGTCTGGAGTGTGACCTAAGAGAAGGAGTCTGAATAGCAGCCTAAGTGACCCTAGTTTAGGCTGAGAACCTTGTTTTGTCTCCTCTTCTGTGGTCCATGCCCTTAACTGCTGTAGAGACGATGGTTGCACTAGATGGAGAGAAAATAGAACAGAAAGGTGGACCCAATTCTTTTTTGTCTGGATCTGCCATTCTCAGTGTTTACCATAAGGTATCACCTCATCTTTAAAGTAAGATTAGACCACATAACCTCTAATCTTTCTCTTCTCGGCTCAAATGAGCTCATTTAATACAAACTGAAGGTCAAGTACCTTGTCCCTTTGGCCCAGCCTAAATGGATGAAGGGCACACATGCACAGTTTGTCACCAGCAGCGAGACAGAAAGGTTTTGCGTGAAGAAGCCAGCCCTGGTTCTTGGGCCTGGAGGCCAAACTCAGCTCTAGGTCCTCCCTGCAAGGTCCCGGCCAGGTGGTCCCGGCCAGGAGTGATGAGGCGTCATGACCTCCGGCCGCAGGAGCCCAATGCAGCCAGGATCTGCAGTTCCCGAGGCCCTTCAGGTGACCCACATGAACTTCAGCAGCACTAGCCTCAGCCTCAACTCCTACACCACTTGTCTCTGGAAGCCTGGTGACGTCATGTCCACCTCTTCACGTGGTCCATCACCTGCTTTCCGTCTTTCCTAGGTGAGGAAGCACTCAACGAATACCTCAAAACCAAGACCGTGACACTGGAGTATTAGAGCGACACCTTCGCCAGTCAGCCCTCGGGGTCCGTGCCGTCCTCACCCCCAAAACCGAGCATCCCCAGCGTGCACAGGAAGGAGGTATCAGCCCGCAGCCAAACATACTCGCGTGGACCGTGAAGAGGGCAGGCCACGTGTCTGAGTATTTCTGATGCACCTGTTCAACTTTAAAATGACTTGTACCTAGGGGGTTTTGATGTTTATCTTCCATACTTATAAAGTACCATGCTGCATTTTTTTCCTCGGAGACTCATCTGATCAGGGTTGTTCATCCTGAAAACGCCCCTTCATTTAACTAGAATACACAGGTGCTCTTTGGGGGAACTGTTGTCTAATTTTAACCTCTGAGCTGTATAGATGAGGTATAAAAGGGTTTCTATAATTTTGCTCTTAAACAATAGTTAACCCTCTAAGGGATGTGAAAGAAGCTTTTTTTCCTGTTTGTGTGATGCATCTTTGTGCCTTTGCTATTCTGTTTTTGAACCCACTGTGATGTGGACCCCCTAAATGGTCCTTGAATACCTACGGGGGGAGGTGCTATATATATTCTGAGATGCAGGTAAAAATTAAAGACATGCTCTCGCCCTATAAGTAGACGGCTAATAAACAGCTGCTGATGTGACTTCTGCAGCATGATTTAGTAGAAAGTAAATACGCTTGGAGGCTGCTCTTGGGTCCTATTGTATCATCTTATTGTGACTTCGAGAAACGTATGCAGCTTCTCTGAGCCTCTGCTTCCTTACCTGTAAGAGGGGGAGAATAGTGCCTTCCCCAGGCACCTTCTTGGGAGGTTCAATGCAGCAACATAAGTAAAGCCGCTTGCAATGTGCTTTGGTCCTGGTACTGAACAAAAACGAACTGTTCTCCCCATAACTTTTTAACGGTAAATTGAGGTGAATTAACTCCAAGTATTCATTAATTTCCCTACAACCCTTGTCAGGAGCTCATCAATTCCAGGGCTGCTTTTTCTCATCTGTTGCTCCTACGTGCCGGATCCAAGCACTGGCCGAGCCTGCAGTGCTTCTGGGAGGGCGCTGCTCTCTCTCCGGCGCGCACTCTCCTCCATAGGCCATCTTGCTTTCCACCCGTCTACCTACTCGTTGGTTCTGCCACGCACTGGGAAGACCTCAGGCAAGTTAGTAACCAAGTTAGCTGAGCCTTTATAGCTATGAAATAGGGGTAAAATCCCTGTCTTGATGGAAGGTGTGAGGAGTCAAAGGATAAAACACAGAAGGTACTTAACAAGGTGTTTTGACCGTAGTCTACACGCAAGAAATGGGAATTGTCACAACCCCACGGCACTCACTAATTGCCCGTTGCCATACAAAAGCACGCAGGGGGTAAATTACCACCATGCACTGGTGAATGGAAGGTGGTGAGTTACTGAATCACGGAACACTCTGGAAGGTGGTCAGACAATTCACTTCAACTAAGCCACCTTTTAAACAAAAAATTCAGTAAAAATTCCTAGCTCTTTGGTGCTGAAGGAGCCCATGGGGGTACTTACTTGTTACTGTGGAAATGTGGCTGCTTCAAAGAAGGTAAGATTATATGAGAACATAGAGAATCAATAAGCAACAAAAGTCCGAGGCAGAAAACATGCAAAGGAAGAATAGCAGGGATGGCCTGGCATGGTCAACAGGGCGAATCTTGCCTGCAGGTATTTTTAAATTGTACTGTAGCTCGTTTATCATCAGAGCTCAGCATTCTGAAATTCTGGACGGAACCTGGGTCCAACCTGGTAGTTCATATTTGAATAAGATGGCAATGGTGTTTTATAAGCTTTGTGTGATTTCATGTAATCTAAACTATTTTTACCTATTATTTTAATGAAAGATATTTTAATGGTAGATGAAATCGCAAACCAAAAGATGCCCATTTATAGGCTGCTTTTATCCTCTAAGACTGCTATCAGTATGAATGTTTGTCATCTTTCTTTGGGCCACCAATCTGTCTACAAGCTGTGGGTGTCCCATCTCTAGCCCCCAAGCCCACATGCACTCTAATTCTGCAAATATCTTCAAGAGATTCACAGACCTCTTAAAGCCCAGATTAAGAATTCCTTTACCCATAGCGAGTTCTAAGGTTCTTAATAGCTGCTAATCAGAATTAAAGGCCCCATGGAATTCATAAAATTACCAGTGAATTGAAACCTAATGGTTCACAGCCTGCTAAGTGATGAACACACGGACCAAATCATCGCTGTCCCCTCCTTTAGTTCACTGACGGCTTTGCTATACTAAAAGAGAACTGCTGATTGTTCCCCCAGCTGGGGCAGCGGGGCCACTCGAGGCGCTTCTCTGCCCCTCCCAGTCCCCTGCTCACAGCTTCGCTCCCGCAGGCCACTTCCCCTTAAACATGCTTCCTGGCCTTGCCTGCCCCTGCTGGCTTAAGAATCCTCAGTGCTCCCATTTCTCAAGAGCACAGGTCTTGCCACTTGGCACTGAAAGCATTTGCCCTCCTAACTAGTCAAGAGCCCACCCTGTCCCCGGCCTTGGCATTCTGTGCACAGCGACCAGCTGTGGCGTGAGGGCCTCTGCCTCTGCCATTGGCACTGCCGAGCACTTTGAAAATACGATCTTTAATCATCACAACTTCTGGAAAAACGAATAAATTGAACAATGTCAGCTCCTAAGTGCAGGAGTAAACGTGCTCTCCTTACTGCCTTCACCGCTGCCACGTCATCAGCCGCTCTAACTCCTCTCTTCTCTGAGCTGGTCACCCTGATGTCTCTTTGTGTCTTTCTGTTCAAAGCCTTGGCCAGGTGAGTCCCTCCTCTGCTCAGGACCTCTCTGTGGCTGTCGTTTCACTCAGAATAAAGCCCATGTACTTTTTGTGGCTCTATCCATCTTGCTTCTGGCCACCATGAGCTCCTGCTGGCCCATTTCCCTTGCTCCGTCCAGCCATGTCAGCTTCCTTGATGTTCCTCAGGCCAAAGCTGCTCCTACCTCAGGGCCCTGGCCCTCACAGCTCTCTTCCCAGCGCTGCGCTGGAGTATTTTAACCAAGGGCTCTCCTCTGTGGGGGTCAGAGCAACTGAGATATGCCCTTTGCTGCTTGCTGAGCTCAAGGCTGACTTTGAGGTACCAGTTTGACCTTGCTGAACACAGAATTAGAAGTGAAGCCATAATCAGGGCACGTGCAAACCAGGGAGGTGCACCTCTGCCTCTTTTCTTCCCACATCCAACCCCCCAGCTCCCGGCCTCTCCTCAAATCTAAGAGAGCCCCACCCCTGACTGCTCTCTGTATTCACACCCACGTCCCTCATTTGTCTCGTCTGCCCTGCTAGGCTCTAGTCTCCTTACACTGTTTTTCATGGTGCTCGCCAGAACCTGGCATAGGTTTCTCTCCCAGTTAGAATGTAAACTCCACAAAAAGTGCATCTTCTGTTCAGTGCCATCTCATTAGTGCCTAATACACAGGCGGAGCCCGGTAAATACTCATTTTCAGGTAAAAACCACCTACCCAGACCTCACAGCTATTGGATGGTAGATCAGACACTCGAGCAGGGAAGATGGCGGTCTCGGCCAAGCGGAGAACGTCAATGCCAGAGCTCTCGGGTCCCGGGTGATGAACAGTAAACATGGGCTCAGTACTTGTCCAAGGGAAAAACGAAGCAGAACATGCATTCTCTGTAAGAGGGCTTGTCAAAGTGGCTGGATCCAAGGTGAGGAACCAGGTTTGGTTCCCATGTACCCACATGCCAAGGAGATAAAAGCAAAGGGAAACTAGGGCTGGAAGAGTGTCAGACAGGAGACATGATGGATGGGCTGGAATTCTGTGACTGTTATGCAAATCATACCCACGTGGATTTTTTAAATGACTGGTTATGTAACTATGTAAAAAACACATACGGGCAGGTAAGACTCAACTATAAATGTTCCATACAAGTAACCTTCTATTTCAGATTGTTTGACTTTTTCTATATTTTTTTTACAGAATCAATAATAATGTCATGACGTTGTCATATTTTTGTCAATTAACAATACATAAGAATCCTTCTGGTCAATATAGCTGCATATGTTAATGGTTTTCATTCAACTTGGTTTCTATTGTTGGGCTTTTTCTGATTTTTTGCTCTTTTAAACACCGCAATAAACCTTCTATAGAAATGTGTGAGCAAAGCCAGACTTGCCAGAATGAATTCCTACAATTGGAGTTGTGAGAAAAGCATCCAGCCACCTATAACCTCACTTTCTCCCCCACATTTCGCCACAACCGTGCACTCTCCTTACAGTGCAGTTGGGCCTCACATTTACTGCTGTCCTAAGTATGTGTGTTAACTCACTACTTGCCAACCACCATTGTCCCCAGTTCACAGAAGATACTGGAAGTGGCTGGGCTGGGACAGGATCCCAGCAAAATGCCTCCTCATCCCACCACGGCCAGACTGGCTGCCTGCCTGAACTTAAAACATGGCTTCTGCCTTCCCTATTGTGAAACCTTGGGAAATTTGTGTGGTATCTGCAGCCACCTCTCTTATCTGAGTGTAGGCAGACTATCTCTTACTGGGAAAGTAAAGCCATAAGGAACTGAAAGAGTAGACCCTGAGAGTTCTCATCGCAAGAAAACAAATTCCTGTGTATGGTGGATGTTAACTAGGTGTATGGCTGGAATCATTGTGCCATAGGCCTGACACCTGTTACATGGCAAAATTATGTTGCATTATTAAAAAAAAAAAATACAAAACAAGTCTGGGAAGCGTTCAGTCTGCAGAGTTATGTGGAACAATGACTGATGCTCTTAACTTTCTGCTGTCCTTTGTGCATTGACTTTATGCTCAAGAGCCGGCTCCACAGACGACTTCTAGGGAGGACTTTCAGGAATCAAGTCCAGCCACAGAGACACTCAAGTCCTGCTTTTTAGAAAATAAATGTGACATTTTATTTATTTACTTTTTTTGGGTAAAATGGAGTGCAGGTGAAAGGATTGACCAGAGACAGAGTGGGAAGCAGAACAGGTGGACCCACTGAAACACTGCAGGTGAGACAGGAGAGGCCTGCTGTGCTATGTGGGGTACTCCCTGGCTGGGGATCAAACTCAGGCCACAGAGATGACAGTGCTGAAACTTAACCTCTAGGTCACCAGGCACCCTCAGGACCTTCTGAAAGAAGAAAGGAACCATCTCTTTACAGGTCTCTCTCAAAAGTACCTTCTTGTCCAAAGTCTCCTAACACTTTCCTCATTTCTCCCACCCCCCAAGGCAACCACTGGCCAAGGCTTTCCATGAACCCAACATTAATCTTTTGGGAAAAGTCTATCTGACCTGTCTTTTCTTCAGGATTGTAAACCACAGATGTTAAAGATCAATTATTTTATTAAATAGAAAAAAATGGTCTTACGACTTTATTGTACATTCCAATTTAGTAAAAGGCACTAACCCTAGGCACTGAGGAAAATATAGATGAAAGAAGACTCACATCTTTTCTTGCCTTTTCTACCACAGCAGTGGACACAAACACAAGAATACAAACTACTTTGCAAGGCAAGTTTTTTTTTTTTTCCTTCAAAACTATCATGTTTGACACACAATGTAAATAGTATGGGAACAGATGGGAGATTCATTCAGAATGAAGGTTTTGCTTCAAAGACCACAACACCAAGTTTTTTGCTTTTCTAACTGTCACAGAGCCATAGAAAGATGTACCCTGCAGGCATGAAGAGACTATTTCATCAGTCTTAGCGGGAACAGAACCATTTTCCCCATGGCAGCCACTGTGGCCCAGTTCAGCATCGAGCACAGAAAGCACGATAGTGACTCAGTTTCCAAAGAGACTGTGAGGCAACCTACTTACGAACGAAACAACTAAGGTAGAACAGCATCCATCCAGTGCACAGGTGTTGAATGTACAGACAGGACTCCACATGCACGAACCGGTTCACCTTGACAGGTAGACAATTAAGACCTTGGTCTCATCTGCGTTTTGATGGATGAGGCTCAACTTTTCTTCTGTGCATTACTTGTTCATTTCCTAGGACTTTTTCATTACTGAGACATTCTTCCTGGTTTTACTAACTTGGAAGAGCCCTTTATATATTAATCACTCTCATTATACAAATGTTTTTCCAATACATCCCGTATCTTTTAAATTTGCCACTCAGTAGTTTTTAATATTTATGAGTTTTCTGCTCTTTTCCTTTATGATTTCAGGCTTTTGATATTCTTATTTAAGGAATAGAACTCTCAGTTTTATTTCTTTACCATTCTTCTATCTTTAATTCGTAATTACCTTCTCTTTAAGGCTAGAATCTAGCCTTAAAGAGTTAGCCAGCCCTGACATTGTATATTAAATAAATGATGTTTTATTCTTAAAACAGCATCTTTATCGGATATTATACTTTATGTGTTCTTTTTTTTTCTTATATCACAAGAATGTCCAGACAGTCAGCATTTAACTGACTTCCTCAACTGCACAGGAAGCACAGCTGTAGTAGATGAGACAACCATATAAGGAGAAAAACATTAAATTTTTACATAGTAGGCAGTATTTCTAGAATGACTAATATCCTCTCCCAGTCAGTCAGTCTATTTGGACTTGGTTATGTGTTCTCTGTGACATTCTATCTTCACATCCCCCTGCCGGGAGTAGTCATTGTGGCTGACGATGTCCTGTACACCTTCATGGATCTGCTAAACCCTTTACTAACATGATTCGGTGGCTACTGTGTACCATGCACCGTGTTAAGGAGTGAACCAGACAAATTCAACACTTCCTACAATGCAGCAGATGGCATTACCTGGTGGAAGATAATCGTTAAATATTTATACCAGTCCCTCATCATAATTGTGTTTGGTTCTACAAAATACAGTCTACCACCCTTTCCAGCTGAGAAATCTCATTTGGAGATCTGTTCATTTCTTCACACAATTGGGGAAGATCTAGTTCTAGTGTCAAGGGGAAATACCAGAAAGAACCTTGAGCCAATATTGGCTCTGGAGTATCTACAAGCATTGTCAGGCTAATGTAAAGAATGGAGGAAACTATTTTTAAAAAGACTCTTAAAATGCTAAGAACTTGGAGACCAAGTTGCATCAGCTCAACACACATTAAGCTCTTTTTCTTTATGATTTCAGGCTTTGATATTCTGACTTCAGTCATCGAACTCTCAGTTTTACTTCCTTACAGTTCTTAAGGCTCTTTAGCCCTCAGATCTACTTCCTAAGGAAAAGCCAGTCCCCTGGCAGAGAAGATATCAAACAAAGTGAAGAGAGTTAAGGAGGAAGCTGGAAAGGGCCATTTTGGCCTTCGAAAGGGAGTCCTGCACTTGCTGTCTTTGTACCACGCTCTCCTGGATTTTCTCCTGGTGGTGGTTCTGCTTTCTACAGCTGATAGGTTTCAAACAGTGGATAACTGTGTAGCACAGTTTTAGTAGCTAGGACAAAAAAAAAAAAAAATTATGATAAAATGAAAACAAAACCAAAACGCATGAATTTTAAACCAGTAAATCCCAAATGCAGAGTGGTGAGTCACCAACAGTGATTCAACTGCAGCTCAGAGGGGAAAAGGTTTTTTTTTTTTTAAATGAAAGTAGATATGCCTGACTATGAGTAATCTTTATCTTTGCAAAGTTTCTCTTTAAAAAAAATGCCCTTGTTGAACCCATTTTGAGGGTGACAAATAAATTTGACTTTGTAATAACCTAAAAAAACCCTAGGCTCTTAGCCAAAAGAATGATCTTAAAAAGGACAGGTGATCTGCACGTCTACTTTCAAATACACGTTTTCTGAAGTTCGTGCAGACTACAGGAAGATGCCGATAAATGCACTCATCCTCAATCACAGTTAAGGTTCAAGACATTCTCCTTAGCCTGAGATCGAAGACAGTCTACTCTGCCAAGACCCCCAGATGCCGCCTGTTCTACCAACTCCTGAAAAGCCAACTTTGCTCTCTAAGAACCAAATACATCTACTGTTGCAGAAGCACCGCAGGAACCTGTGGTGCGAAATAACCAGGGAGCCACTTTTTCAGGGGTGAGCAGGTCACGCTCTCCGCTTCTATGACATTTATTCCCCTACTTCTTTTTACTGGCAGGACTGTCCAAAACTTCTATCTTGCCTTTTCCACCTTCCGAATGAGGCAGCTTAATGTTATCGATGGTGACTTCTGAAGAGGCACTGTCATCTTCGCCTTCCGATTCTGAACTGTCCTCTGAACTGTCTTGTGAATCCTCTTCCGAACTGTCCTCTTTGGAATCTGACTGATTCATCTCGAACAAGGCCACGTCCTATAAAAAACACCAGGGGGTGGACATTACTTCAGGGCAGTGCCCTAAAATGTAGTCATCAAACCATGTGGGGACAACATTTTACACAAATGCTGAAGCACCTGGGACAAGAATTGTTTCTGATCCAAGCTGGCTCTTTGGTTCCTCAGCTGCCAGTGTCTGCTATAACACTTTACATTTCCTGCAGGCCTCAGGGGCCACCTACAACCTAATTCCATATATATCCCCATACACTCAACATGCATTCAGCAAGTATTAACATGAACCACGCACCACAGTAGGTACCAGAGGTTTAACATGAACAAAAAAGTGCCTTGTGGAACCCCCACAGGGTGTTGGCACATTCAGGCTGGCAGACCAAACCTAGCCCCTGCCTGTTTTTATTCACCGTATGAGCTAAAAATGGATTATATATATTTAAAGATTTATCTATGCATACAGAAGTGGAGTACAAGCCAGAGGTGCAGGGGCAGAACAGGCAGATCATCGAAGTACCCTGCTGAGGGGAGCAGCGGGCGGGTCAGGAGAGGTCTGCCGTGCCATGTGGATCTCCTCCAGGGCTGTGCTTTAACCCGCTATACCACCAGGGAGGGCACGGATTTTATATTTTTTAATTAATAGAAAAAAATAATCAAAGAGTAACCTTTTATGACATATAAAAATATATGTGAAATTTAAATTCCTGTGGCTCTCAACAAAGTTGATGAAACTTGTCTGTTCAGTAGCTGTTGCCTAAGCTGCCGTCACCCCAAAGCTGGAGAAACTAGTCACGGCAGAGATACAGCCTCAGGGCCTCCTTGCTTACTCTCTGGCTCCTTACAGAATAAACCACTGCACAGAAAGCAAAACGCAGATAGTTCAAATAGAGAAAAATAAAGTGGGTGGGTAAGGAGTAAGGAGAGGTCTGCCGCGCCATGTGGGTCACCTCCGGGGTGGGGATCGAACTCATGCTGAAGTGGTGTTAGCTTCTTAGTGCTGTGCTTTAACCTGCTGCGCCACCGGAAGGATCATCAGTTATGAGTTTTGAGAATCTAATGTCTAACATGTATTGATAATTATATTCTATGCTACAGACTTACTAAGAGAGTAGATCTGAAGTGACCTCAGCACAAAATGATAGGGTAACTCCATGAGGCAGTGACTGCTAATTAGCTTTATTGTGGCAAACAAACTGTCACATGCTACACTTCAAATATTACAATTTTGCTCAATTATTCCTCGATAAAACTAAGAAAGGATATATTCATTTGGACATAAATAATGAATGACAGATTAGACAGACAGGTAAGTAGAAGATAGATGAGCTAGAGAGACAGACAGCTGGGTGAGAAAGCACAAAAGAGAACTATAATACAAATTCCAGTGTAGCATTAAGAACCCATATTGCCAGTTTTCATATGTGGTTTACATAATCAGGCATTTTGATAATGCATTATTTGCCTTTGCATTCACAAAGAATCAGATGCTAAGCCCCTTTTGTGAGCCTCGGATGTGGAAAAAAGATCCAGTTAAGATACTTAGTAAATGAAGGCTTCAAGGAAACAAATGTAGGGCTTCTTAGGACTTTCTGCCTCTGAACCCTTAACCTGGACCCAGGTAAGCTTCCTAACCTGCAAGATCCTAAATCACAAGATGAGCACACACCAAAGCCTCCTTGAACATGAGCTGACTTCCCAGAAAATAACACTGGGAATTAAAACAGTAAAGCTCTTTTTCCTAAGCGGCCAGGCACTCTGGTGATTTTACTTCATGAAATGCAAGCAAAGCATAGTTACCATTTGTATGACTTTTCCAGAGGACCCATCGGTATTTTCAATGTCAAAGCGACCGGCAGGTGCAGCTGCCATTTCTTTTCTTAGTGTCTCGTTTGCCTGCGCCATCCGTGGGAGAAAGGTCTGCACTTGGTCTAATACTAAGGGGAGAAAAACAGTTCATGGGCATTTATGTGGCTATTTGGCCAAACTTCAACTTTTAAAATCTAGACATTCCTGTAAAATCCCTCTGAGTTTCATAGTAATAATTATAATTAAAAATCTTTCAAATTCCTTCCATTAAATAAAAAAAACTCCATCCTCTTGAATTCTTAAAGCAATGTAACTGTATACTTCAGCCATTACTTCTCAATGGTTTTTGTTTTACCTTTTTTCACAGAACCAAAACCTCCTAGAAGAAGGTAACAAAGAATAAATGAATATCATGAATGACTTGCAAGTAGCATCTGGAATCTGAGGAGAGGGGCCCAGGGAGCAGGTACAGGTAACTGTCTGGGCCTTTTGGCTGGGGTCTGACATGGAGTGTACATCTCCCAAGTATGATTTGCTTCTCTGGACTTTGTGGCTTGATAGCTGATGGTGAAAATCAATAACTGCTCAGTTAAGCAAGTTGGAGCATCAGAGATGGTCCTTGAGGGAGAGGGGAAGGAGAGGCGAGACTTACAGGGACTCCTCTCTATGCGAACTGTTTGGAGAGTGGAAGTCTTTCTGGAATTTGGCTTGGAGTTGATGAGCAACCTGTCCCATATACCTGAAACACACACACGTAGTTATTGTCACAAACAGAACTAGGAGCTCATCAGCAAACCTTCCCTGAGCACACTCAAGTCTTAACTCTTCTACATTCCCCAAGACAGAAGCACCCCAGAAAAAGAGGCACCCCACATTCCATTACAACATTTTAGTTCTTATGTACATCCATCTCCCCCTTCATGAGCCTGTCCATGCATCTGTGTCACCCATACTATGTGATAAATGCACATTAAATGGCATTTTTCTGATCAGAAATCTGTCAAAGACAGAAGCAGAGTGGTGGAGTGGAGGAAGCAGTAGGAAGTAGAGTGGTTAAGTGAAGCCAGAGAAGGTTAGCAGCTGCCATTATGCCAGACAAGTTACCTGACCTCTTGGGCAATAATCTCTTCATTTATAAACATGCTTACCTGGTGAGTTCCCCAACTCAGATGAAACAACCAACTGGGGGCCCCACCCCCAATCTTTCCATCTTCACCATTTATTGCTCTTCAAATTAACACAACTCTCCAGTCTAACAGAGCTCAAGATGGAAACAGGGCCCATCTTCCAGGATCACAAGGCTTTGCCATCCTGTTTCCAGCACCTACATAATCTCCTCACTCTGGCACCCAATCCTGCCTATTCACAAAGCAGAGCTCAACACACATTCCTTGCTGACAGCTTTAGATTCAACAACTGGATTGTGTAAAGATTAATGTAAATGAGGGGCAGACTGGCTGGAATCAAATGCCCATTTTGCCACTTTCCAGCCACATGATTCCCAGCAAGTTACTAATCTGTAATGATACATCAGGACTGTTTCCTTAACTAGAAAATAGGGGTAACAGAATATTCTGCACAGGGCTGCTATGAGTATCAAATTAGTTAATTTATTGGGGCGGCAGAGTAGGCAACACATGATCTTTGACGACTATCACAACTCCTTTGGATGCTTAAGATTCTCAAAGAGCCTTTCCTTCAAGCTAGTATATATTGGGACTATGCCCAAGACCTTCTCCTAGCAAAAATTCTACAGGTACCATTAGCTCCATTTCCCACATGTCAAAGACTGTAAGCAACGCTCCCCAAGTCCTGCAGCGAATTACTCAGTGACCCTGCGGCTCCAACCCATGCTTCTAGTTCTGTTATAGTGTCTGAGAGCCGCTGTGGGTTTCCTGAACGCCTGCCTCCCTCTGCTAGAGGACCATTCTATGGGGTGCATGTCGGGGAACATGGTGGTTAATCTGTAATGTTGATCAGCTCCCCCTACCAGCCCAGACAGCCGACCCTAACACCCTGCCCTTAGGGGAGGGGTAGTCCTGCAAGGCTCCACAGTGCGGGGGCCCACGCCCGGGAGCCGGCCCCGCACCCCCACGCCCCTCGGCCGCCCCCGAGGCTCCCCTCCCACAGCGGGGCCTGGGCCCGGCGCCGCACGTGCGCGCCCCACGCCGCCGCCACCCTCCCGTCACCTCCGCCGCCGCCGCTCCCCGCAGTCAGTAGCTCCTTGGACACAGGGACTCCTGCGCAGTTCCCGGGCGACGGAGAACAGCGGGGGCTGCTTGGGGGTTCGCCTTGGACCTCCATGCTTCTCGCAGATCTTTAAATCCAGCCCACCCAGGCCCGGATGCCGGAAAAGGCTACGGCAGGGGGCGGAGCTAGAACTGCGATTGGAGGAAAATCGAGGGTAGGCGGGGATAGGGGCGGGGCGAAGGCGGGCCCTAGGGGAGGGCGACACCTGGCGGAAACTCAAGGCTATGCTTTCTGTCGGGGAAGGAGGGTTTGGGACCCTTTGAGTCCTGTAATTGGAATGAATAACTGGGGTGCGGGGGCGGGGTTGGTAGCTACATAAATCAAAACATGAGCGCACCGTGAGGCTGCCCTGCTATTCATTTTTTAAATTTACTTTTAAAAATCGTGGTTAAAGAAAAAACACATGCCATGGAATGTACTATCTTGGTCATTCTTAGGTATAACACTTTAGGGATTATTAGCTATATTCACATTGTTATACAATAGATCTCTGAACTGTGTCCATTGCCCAAAACTAGAACAAGCCTCCATTTCTCTCTTCTTGCTGTCCCCAGCAGTCGCCTTTCCAGCTTCTGTTTCTAGGTGTTTCACTACTTGAAATACTCCATGTAAGTACAGTTATGCAGAGAACGTCTTTTTTTCTGTCTGGCTTAGTCACTTAGCATAATGTCCTCAAAGTTTATCCAGGATAGGATGTGACAGGATGTCCTTGTTCCCTAAAGCAGAATATCCCAGTCTATGCATTTGCCACATTTTCTTAACCATTCATCTTTCACAGGACATTTGGATTGCTGCCTCCTTTCAGCTATGAATAACATCGCAAGGAACACGAGTTTGTAAATATTTCTTTGATATATGTTTGGATTTATATATAGAGTTATGATTACTGAATCACATAGTAATTCTATTTTTTTTCATTTTTGAGGGCTCTCCATACTGGTTTCCATGAGGTTACACTATTTTACATCCCTGCATCTCCAATTTCTTTACCTTCTCCCTACGATGTATTCCTTTTTTTTTTCCTAGAGGGTGGGAGGTGATAGCTCATTGTAGTGTTGATTTGCATTTCCCTGATGATGTGTGATATTGAATATCTTTTTCACATGCTTATTGGTCATAGATATGTCTACTTTGGAGAAATAGCTATCCAAATCAGTTGCCCATTTATTATTATTATTTTTTTTTTCTTTTATAACAGTTTATTTTTACATCATTTTGTGTATTTTTTTTCCATCTCAATTGTAATCCCCTCGGGTTTCCCATCACCAAGTCACCCTTGTGCCATCACCATAATCCCGTGCATTTCCCTCCCCACCCCCCACCCCCGTTTTTGATCCCCCAACTCCACCCCCCAAAATGTCTCTGGTATATGGTTGTTCATTATTTTTGTTATTTTCTCGCCTGGTCCATTATACTCCTGCTATGAGTGAAACCATCCGGTATTTTTCTTTCTCTTTCTGGCTTATCTCACTTAGCATGGTCTTTTCCAGCTCCAGTTGCCCATTTTTTAATTGGATTACTTGGTTTGTTGGCATTGAGGTCTAGGAGTAATTTATATAGTCTGGATATTCACCCCTAAACAGATACATGATTTGTAAGTGCATTGTTCTCCCAGTTCTTAGGTGGCATTTTTACTTTGTTCATTGTTTCCCTTCTTGTAAGTCTCTGTCTCCCCACTGGAGCATGCCCGGAACTCCTGTAACTGCAGGGTTCAGAGCAGAAGCAGAAACTGTACCAGCTTTTTCAGCCTGTTGCTGAAAACAAGTGAGCTCAATCAGTGCTGTGACTTCAGCATATAGCTCTCTGGGCCTGTTTCCCCCTCTGTAAGTGAGAACAATAAAACTTTGTAGGGGTGTCGCTGGGGCTAGAGGAGGAAGATGAATAGTATGTAGGTAATGAAGCTAGTAGCTTATTGTGATTGGCATCATAATAATTGAACATTATATTATAACCAAGATATAAAATTTAGAGCGAGAGAATTCTGGGAGAAATGACAGCACGGAGACAGTAAACGCTGATCGATAAGTATAAAAAGCTAACTTCACTTTCTAGTTAAACATTAGATGGAATAAAAAGTTCTTAACAATAATTCAAAATCCAGAGCAGTAAGAAAAAGGGTCATAAATTTGACTACAGAGCTTTTACATAAGAAAAATCAGCGAACAAAATGCAATAAAAGTAAATGACAAAACTAAAAGCAAGGTTTTTTACTTAAATCACTGGAAAGAGTTAATACCCATAAGTTAACACAATAAGCTTCTAAAACGTGGAGAAGAAATAGACCATTAACGCCACAGAAAAATGGTTAGAGAAATGAACTGACAGTTCACATAAACAGAAATGCAATGATGCTAGCCTGTATAAAAAGATGCTTAAGCTCACTCATATGTTTTAAAATGTGAGAGAAAAAAAAAACACTCTGAGAAAACATCCTTGTGGATCAGATTGGCAATAATAAAGAATTATAGCAAACCTGTTCTTGTATTTGTAGACAATCAGGCACTGCCAAAATCTGATGTCACTAATATGACATGTACAAAATGTAATATGACTAATACAAAATGGCGGGAGCTGTAGAAGGGATTGGCATTATTTAATAAAATTACATACACATTCACCTTTTCAACCAACAATTCCTAGACATGCTCTGGGAGGAAAATGCAAAATGACACATGCATGGTGATATCTGTGACGTTAAAAAAACTAAAATCACACAGATGTCCATCGATACAGAGGTGCTCAAATAAAAGTACTATGCAGATATTGGTACCGTGTGATCTTCAGAATATGTTGACCAATGAACAAAGCAAACTGCTCAACACTCTCTTCAGTGTGTTACCTTTTGTGTAACAAAGTAAGAAAAATACCCATATAGGTGGATATATGTACAGATACAAACATATATGTTTATGTGGTTATATTTTCAAAAAGAGACAATGGAGGATATAGAATAATAAATTTATTATATGCTCTATGTGATATTTTTATTATACATCCACATAAGGTTATCTATTCCTTTATACTAAAATACAATAAAATTTATCTAGAAGGGATTGGTTGAAATAGGGAAGATCATTAGACTTGTTTGAATACTTCATTTTATAGTTTTGACTTTGCAATCCTGTAAATACCTGACATACTTAAAAACAAAATTAAAGACAAAAATAAGTCCCTCTGTGACTGAGACCAGACTGAAATTGTCACAGGGCAACCCAATGTGAAATATATATAGGAGCCATATTGAGCTGAGACTCTCTCCCTTGGTCAAGTTTGTGATAGAACAACATGGAAGATAATTATTTAGGCAACTTTGAAACATAATATTTATCCTTAATGAGATGAATCTTCAGGACAAACCAAACATGCACCCAAATGGAAACCTTAAAAGCATCCATTCATGGAATATTAGTCAGCAATCAACATCATGCCTTTTGCAGCAACATGGATGGAGCTGGAAGGGATCATGCTTAGTAAAATAAGCCAGAAAGAAAGAGAAAAATACCAGATGGTTTCTCTCATAGCAGGAGCATAAAGGACCAAGAGGGGGGGAAATAATAATAATGAACAACTATATACCAGAGACCCAGAGACATTTTACAGGGGTGGAGTGGGGAATGGGATAAACAATGGGGGGGGGGGGAGAAGTGCACAGAACTATGCTGATGGCACACAGGTGACTTGGTGATGGGAAGCCCAAGAGGATTGCAGCTGAGATGGAAAAAGGCACAAAATGATGTAAAATTAAACAATTATAATAGTTTTACAAAAGTATCCATTCATTTTAATTATTCAGAACATTACTGTTAGAATTATTTGGAACTGCTAAATGGATTTTTTGGGGGAAAGCAAATAAATAATTCTACTATATCATTTGGAATTCAAATTTTTTGCTCATGAGATAAGAAATATAAGTAAATTTATGCCTGTAATCTTCTATTTGAAATGGCAATATCTGTATAAATTCATGACTTCCTGTACCCTTTCTGAAAGCTACTTATTTCCTTGCTTGGTCCACTGGAAGGCCCAGGAGCAATGACAGTTCACTAGGACAAGCATGCCCGAGCCAGGCCATGTCCCCTCAATGCCTTCCTCACTAAAAGGAATGGAACTTCTTATTTGAATGATTGGTTTCAAGTCTGAGTCAGGAATTATAAACCAAGGACTGCTGTGATGCCAGGAAGCTGCCAGAGAGAATTGGGGTCATGTCAAAAAGAATCTGGAGCTCAAAAATGGAAAATAGAAATTCCATATTATATAGTTATCCCCCAACCCAAAGAATATAGAAACAGTCACTTGAACAGATGTAAGCACTCCCATATTTATTTACAATAGCCGAGTACTGGAAGCAACTTAAGTGCTCAGTAACAGATGAATGCGTAAAGATGCAGAATATTACTTATTATAAATAGGATGAGATTCTAGTATTTGCAGCAACTTAGATGGCACTAGAGGCTATTATGCTCAGTAAAATAAGTCAGAGAAAGACAAGATGCTGTATGATTTCACTCAGGTGGTACAGAGAGAAACAAATGAGTGGAATAAATGAAACAAGAATAAACCTTTAGATTAGAGAACCAATGCAGTGGTTACCAGAAGGGAAGGGGGAGGAACTAAGCAGCTAAGAGGAGGCAGTTACTGGGTGAAGGCTAGACTAGGACTTGGGGGATCTTCGCATGTGCTCAAGATGCTGCCTTGTAATGACCCATACCTGAGCTATATATAACGTTACCAGGTACTGTTAGGTCTATAAAAATTACTTAAAAAAGGAATATGGAACTAATTCCAAGAGACTGCCAAACCTGGTTCTGCCAGTCATTCTGTTATCACTAGAAGTGACCAAGCAGATTTTCTGTGTCCCTAGGTAATGCATTAGGAAGTAACCAGCGGCCCTCCCTGGTGGCGCAGCGGGTTGAAGCACTGCACTGAGAATCTGGGGCTGCTTCCGCATGAGTTCGATCCCCGCCTGCCCCGGAGGTGACCACATGGCGTGGCAGACCTCTCCTGACCCGCCCGCTGCTCCCCTCAGCAGTGTACTTCGTCTATCCGCCTGTTCTGTTCCCCACTCTGTCTCTG